GCAAAAAAAAAAAAAAAAAAAAAAAAAAAAAAAGAAGGAAAGGGGGGCACCACAGAAAACTCTTGATTCGGCTCAGGGGGAGACTGAGGCCCAGAGCTGGTGACCTTGTTCAGGGTCACAGAGCCTAGCCTCCTTCCTATCCCTCCCTGACCTTTAAGTGAACAGCCTTCTTGAATGGGCAGGAGCAGGCCACAGAAGGGACAGACCCTTTCATGGGTCTTCCTGGGTTAGTCATCTCAGCCAGTGTCTGGCACTTGGCTGGGCTAACATGTGGGCCACAGTCAGTGGCCACCAGAGCGTACTGGGGCAAGGCTGGTCTGCCGAGGAGTGGGCAAGGCGCAGGGGAGCAGGAGAGGCTGACCCTGATGCCGTTCAGGCCCTGTCCACGGACTCGGTGGAACGCCTGCCCGTCTACAACAAGTCAGCCTGGCGCCACTACCAGACCATCCAGGAGGCCGGTGATTGGTGTGTGCCCAGCACGGAGCCTAAGAACACGTCCACGTACCGTGTCAGCTAGAGGCCACCCCACTCATCTGCACCCAAGAGGATGGACTGCTGTCTCTGGATCCGGCCACCATGGTGACCCTCCCTGTCCCCACCCCAGGTTGGGGGAGGCTCTCCCTGATGACCAGCTTCTTGTCTCTGTGGAAATCACTGCGGTGACCGGTCTGTGGTGGCCCCTAAGTGCCAATCTCTGTCCCTATGGAGACTCCTAGGTGATCTCCCTGGGTCCAGTCTCTGTGGGCAGTGCCTGAGGATTGGGGGATGTCTCCACCCTGATACGGTGTCCCAGAGATACGTTTCCATGGCATTCTTTCTCTCTGAGCCCAGAGCTGCCACTTCTCTGCTGGGGGTCCTAGGTCCCCCTCACTGCCTTCCACAGCCCTGGCCTTCCAAGTGGACACCCCTGCTTGCCTTATTCCCTTGGCCCGTGCCGGTACCCTGGCCCTGGTCTGGTGTCAGTGTTAGGAAGGGGCCAGGTACCCGCCACATCTGGCACAGTGGGAGGGGACCCTTGGTTGGGGACCTGGTCCTACAGTCTCTTCCTCCCCTCTGAGTTTAAGGTCAAAGTTAGGAGGGAGGGATTTCTCACCTGGGGCTCACCCCTGAAGCCGAGGAACCTGGGAGGACCCAGAGCTTGGCCATCCAACCAAGCTGCTTGAAGCCTGCAGGTGGCCCCAGCAATGTTTCTGCCACCTCCCGAGCCCTTCCCCTGCATGTCCTCACGTGCATACACCTGCCTGCCACACACGGTCCCCCACTGAGCTCCAGACCCCAATTCCCACTGTGCCCACCTGTGCTTGGGGTGGCTTTCTCCCTAGAATGTTGTGTGTACATAGCTAGTTTTATAGCCCTGAATGCGCCCACCCTTTCCCTTAGCACACAGGGGGTTAAAGTTGTGTGCTCCTCCCAGTGGCTGTGATGGTGACAGTGACATCCACAGTAAAGAGGAGATCGAATGAGACTGCAGCCCCGCTGCCTTCCTGGGGGAGGGAGATCCTCACGTATAAACGCATACAGACTGCAGCCCCTGTGACCAACACATGACGCGCTGGGGACACCTGATCCCAGCTCAGGACATGGTTCAGTGCGTGCCGAGTATAACAGCGGCCACAGCTGTCCATTCAGAGCACTTGACGGTGCAGCACCCAGGGACAGAACTGTGGCCTCCCACATTCGGGGCCCAGCCCAACCCCCCAGCTGGGGCAGACAGAAAGGTCACTGGCACATCATAAGTGTTTATTGAAATAAACTGAGTACCGCCTCCCCCTTCACATGCAGGTGGGCACCCAGGTAACTCCTGATGGCTTCAAGGACCTGGGAACTTTTCACCTTCCCCACTGGCCCCTCCTCTGGGCCCAGATGGTACTGATGCCCCCATATCTCAGTCCCCTCTCTGAAGCCCCTCTCCCGGCACAGATAGCAGAGAGGAGGAAAGGACTGAGACCCAGGAATAGGGGTAGCCCTCAGGCCACTGCGCTTGGGCTGGAACGAGGGGAGTAGGCATGCATCAGGTCCTGTCCACCGCTCCAGGCGGATGGGAGGAGGTGGAGGGAGGTCTGTAATCAGAGGCCCCTGGCCTCATTGTTAACTCCAGCCAGTGCTCCAGAAGCTGGGCTAGCCGCTGGCCAGCACCGTAGCCACACACTCCCTCCCTACAAGGACAGATGGCTTGCTCTGGGCTGCTGGGGTAGACTCCACCCCCACCCCTCCCTGTGGCCCAGGAACCGGAGCCCGCACCGTCTGCCAGTTCTGGAACCCACTGAGGCCTTGCTAGGGACCAGGGCCGATGGGGGATGGCTGATGAACCTTTCCAATTTAGCAGCTTCCGGGGGACCTCCCAGATTTTGCCTCTCTGCTTGGCTGGGATGAGGATTCACCAGTTCAGGACCATCTAGGCATTGGTAGGGGGTGTCTTCTGTGGCCACCAGCTCCCAAGTTTGCTCTGTCCTCAGGGAGGGCCCAGGTGGCCTCTGATGGAGCAGCAGAAGTGGGCCCAGCTTGGAGAGAGGGTCAAAGACCAGGCTTTGAATGGGCCTCAGGAGGGGCAGACCTGCAAGGGCATTATCTCAACACTGAGACCCACAGGACGGGGACAGGGAAAAGGAGGAGCTTTGCCTCCTCCCTTCCTTCTGAAGTCCTTGCGAAGATGATGTGGGGTAATCATGCTGCTTTCTCTGCCCTCCTGTTGAGGAGTGCAGACTGGGAGCCTACCTTACATGCAACTTGCTGCAGGCCCACCAGCCTCCCTGCGGAGCAGAACAGAGCTCTCCTGACACACAGTCACCTGGGAGAGCTGGAAAGCAGCTGCTTTATCTACCTGCTCCTGCAGAGACGCCCGGCCCACCTCTCTGAGCCCAGGGCTTCTGGAAGGTAAGCAGGCCTCCTAATTCACTGCTGGTCCCAGGACCACCATGGCCTGAGGGCACAGGGTCAGAATGACTCTCAGGCACTTCTGGGCTCCCAGACTTGCTTCAGCCCCGGCTTCTCTGCCCATAATCTGCCACTTCCCCCAGGAACTCTGTGCCAGACAAGTCCTTGAAATGGGATTTATTACTGGGTCCTCCCCCTGGGGTCTCCCTTTCTGAGGAATCTGGGTCCAGATAGAAGACAGGGTGAGAGGGCTGTTCCTCCTGAGAGCATGGGGCCAGGCCAGCCCAAGCCTGGTGCCCAGGCCCCACTTCCCCGGGCGGCCTGTGCCCTCAGAGCCCAGCAGCTGCCCGCGCCAGGTGCCGGTGCCTGCCCGCCCGTCTCCCTAGCTCCTCTTGGCCGCCTGCTCCCTGCGCCGGAGCTTCTCACGCTGCCGCGCTGCCTTCTCCTGGGCCTTGCGCTCCTTCTCAGCGGCCGCTGCCAGCTCCTTCAACTTCCGCTTCACTAGCGCCCGGTCATGTGAGTTGCTGAGCCCCAGGCTCTGCGGGAGGAATCCAAGGGTGAGGGGAAGAGCCCCGGAGCCACCCAGGCCTGGCCAACCCAAGCCCCGGGTTCTCTGTGCCCCAGGTGTATTGTATCCGGAGCTCTTGCCAGCCCTCAGCCTCCACCTCCCAGACTTGCTGATGGATCAGAACCCTCAGGGCAAGAATTTGGAATGGGAGTGATTGGGAGAGATGAGGGTAGAGGGTTGGCTCCCATATTCCTCCACTCAGGATTTCAGCCTTGGCACGACCCTGCCTGATCCCCTGAGGCCCAGAGACGGGGAGCAAAATGTCCAAGGTCACACAGCTAGTCAGTAGCTGAGTCCCCTCTCCATCCCACAGACTACCTGGGGGACTCTTCGCACCACCGCTTCCCCAAGCAGCTCAGCAGAGGGCGCACAACAGGCCAGAAACCCCCAGTACAGAGATCAGAGAGACACCCCCTGCCGCCCCCCACCCCCGACTTGTTCCCTCCCACAACCACCAGCCTCCAAGATTCTTAGTCTTGGAGACTTAAGACTCCAAGAATCAGGTGAGATGACCAGGGGAGACTGATTAGAGTGAAGAGTCAGATGATAGGATTGTCCTCAAGGTCAGAGGTCAACCTGGAGACTTGGGCTGGAGCTTGAAGGTCAAACTGAGGAACTGGGCTGGAGTCAGACTGGGAACCCATACTAGAGAGCAGCGATCAGGTCGGGGATCTTGCCTAGAGGTCAGAGGCCAGGGCAGTGGTCTTAAAGGGAGTGGAAAGGTCAGGATGAGGGGATCCTAATTCTTGAAGGCTGCCTCAGGCTCTGGCTGGGTCGTGGCCCTTCTACTCTGACCCACCTTCAGTTTGCTTCCATCCAGCTGCAGTAGCTGCGGCCCATCCACCTGCCTCGCAGCAAACTCAGCGGCATACTGCTCCAGGTTGAGGCTGTGCAGCCACTGGCCCACCTGCTGACTGGTCCAGTGGTAGATGGTGGGGAGAGGTTCATCCAGAAACTGGGGCGGAGACCAAGGAGCGTGAGGGGAGGAGGCGTGGCCCGTGGCCCGCACACCTGGCTGCGTCAGACGTCAGGGCCTGCTTACCTCATCCGAAGACTGGGACAGTGTGTGGTAGGGGTAGGAACACTTGGCCGCCTGCCGGGGACCACTTGGAATCTTGGGGCTGCTGCTGGGGGGTGTGGAGTCATCACTCAGAGTGGATTCCTAGACAGGAGGGGGCATGCTGCTGAGGAGAGAGCTCACCTCCAAGCGCAAAGCAGTCACCCCCGACCCTCCAGCCCCATCCAGAGGAAGCTGAAGCCCAGGGCTGAGCACCAGGAGTTGCTCAGGGCCCTCGCAGTGAACCAGGAGCTAGGCGGCCACACAGGGCGCGGTGACTCGTGCGAGGCATCGCGTCTGAGGCCTCTGGGAGGACGTGGGGCTAGAACTGAGCCAGGCGGAGTAGTTAGCA